ATCCTCAATGTTTCCCGGTGCTACTGACTGACATGACCAGGATCAACCCCTCCTTTTTTTTGCAGAGTTCATAGGCAAGTGAGCCATAAGCTAAAGATGCAACTGTTCAGTTATTTTCCTCCAAGCATCCAAAGCTTTATATTTCAAATAAATCCATCCAACAGTGCGGAGCTATGAACAGCAGGGCACGTGTATTTCCTAGCTACTTGATCTCTGTGCTGTGCCTCACCATTTCCCTTTTAATTTGGCTTTGCAAAATGCAAGGACACTCAGTGAATGAATCACATATTCCATAGGCTCCCAGTGATTGCCCAGATGCACCATTCATCTTGCCAAGATCCCTGGGACTTACAATCACCTGCAGTGTTCAGAAACATGGTGCCTGTGTAGCTTTTCTTTCCTTCATTAGCCCGTTTGTTGGAGATGACGTAAGCCAGCCCCATTCTCTACTGCCAGAAAAAAGAGAAAAAGAAAAGAAGAAGGATGAATGTACATCTAGGATATTCTTTCATGAATTTGACATGAGCAGCTGATCATAAGTAAATAACTAATTTGCCAATGGCTTTTTTTTTAAGCTTGCTTTTATTGCACATTTCTGTGCACCACATAGAATGAATTATTCTATTAGTACAGAACCATCCCTCTTAACATCATATGTAGAACCGGTGTAGTACAGTGTTTAGAATGCTGGGTTCAAATCCTTGCTCAGTTGCAAACCTGCTCTGGGTGCAAGTTGAGGTCTCTCTGCCTTACCTACCTCTGAAGGTAGACACTCTATTTTATGCATAGCATGCATAGGGTTGCCAGACCTCCAGGACTAAGCTGGAGTCTCCAAGATTGCCCCACCCCGCAGTGGCAGATAGAGGGCTTGAAAAAGAAGAAAAGTCTATACATGCTGCTTGCAAGCTCCAACCCGTTAGGGGCTGGTTGCAAATTGTTGCATAGACTCTTCGGCCGGGGGCAGGGGGTGGGGAGGGTTAAAAGCAGTGCTTTTTTTCTTAAAAAAATGTTTAGGGTACTCTCATTTTGACTCAAGAAAATCACAATTTTATAGTTCAAATCGGGAAAAATAAATATAGTAAATGGACAAAGATTCACAAAATGTTTTAGGGGTATGCGTACCCTGCGTCCCCCCAGAAAAAAGCACTGGTTAGAAGGAAATTAAATGCAGCATAATTAACACTGGTTGACAAGAGCCGTTCACAAGTATAGAGACAACCATTTTAGCTAAGGTTTCTATCCTAATTTCCAATCAGTGACATATTTGCAAATTTGTTAGACGTGTTTTTTATTTGAATGACATGCTCTCAGCAACTGTGGTTCATACTTACGGCAATGTGTCATGCCCAAGGACATCACCAAGGGGTACATCCCATGACATCACATCACCAGGGGCCACCTCTAGGTCTCAGGTTTGGGCCTTGTAATCCCAGGGTCTGGGTTGCTCTTGTTCTGGTAACCCTAAATTGACAGGTCTCTCCATCCCTCCCCTTGGCCTCTTCCCATTTTCTACCGTGCTCTCCCATAAGCTGGGGATGGGCTGAATAACAAATTATGTCCCTGTTTGGTCTTGCTTGCAGGAAATCATAGGTCTGTCCTATGCCATTGCAAGCTGTTTCATCCAGTTGTGTCCCATTGGACACATTTTCGGCAAAATTGTACATAGAACATACACATTTCAATGCATTCCTCAATAAAATATCGATCTTGTATGCAACTTTTATGTAAAATGTACACCAAAAATGCATTGCAAAATTCAGAGAAGTCTGTAATCTGACCTGGAGCTGTGCTCTGATCTGCAAGCAATTTGAGAACATTTGATCAGGACAGTTCATCGAGAACCAAAGAAGACCAAGCAAACTCCTTCCACATCTTTAGGCTAAAATAGGAAGGAGATTTCTGTGAGATGACACTTGATATCATACTACAAGCACTATTACTGATAGGGGAAGCATTTTGTTGGAAAGCACCTGGTGAGAGGGTGTGTTGACTGCATCAGGAGCAGTTCTGATCTTGCAGGATTTCCTTGTAGCATAAAACAACGGAGAGGTAGAGTCTATTGGTTTTGTTGAGATGAAAATGAGAATTTGACTTTTCATGGAGACTGTAGCTCTGTTCACACCTTCAAAATTTATAGCAGGGTTGGGGAACCGGTGGTCTTCCAGATGTTGTTGTGCTCCATCTGCCACCAGCCTCATCCAGTACGGCGAATGGTCAGGAAGGATGAGAATTATGGTCCAGCAGCATCTGAAAAGTTGCGGTTTCCCCATCCCTGACTTAAAGGTTGAATGTGTGAATAAGGTACCAGATAACCCTCACTATCCTCCCATCTTTTGCACATTCAAGAATTCTGCAAATACTGTATATGATCTCCCATTGGTGGGTACAGCACCTGCACATATACAGTTGTGAAAACATAGAATGACAGAGATGGGAGAAGTCATCTAAGTCCACCCCATTCCCTGCCAAAGCAGGAAATCCATTCCATGGGGCTCTTTCAAACCCTTTGCTGGATACAGGAGATTGGAGATTAGGACAACTGATGTCATATTCACCCCCTTCCAACATGTTTAAGTCTACACATTTTGAAGGTGCAAACAGAGCTTCAGTCCTGTGGGATGTGTATGGGGCCAGGATCTGAGCACTCCCAAGATTTAAGGTCCCGTGCTTTCAGTTAAGAAGTACCTTTTAATAAAATGCATACATCCTATTTATGCTCATGCATACATCCTATTTCGGCCCATGAATATTCAGGCCCTTTAGATGCTCCCTTCTCTCAGGGCTTCACGGAAGGTCTGCAGAGGAGGTGCTAATTCCCATTAGGTTGATGTTAAGTGAAAACAGCATGAAGTGTCTTCTGATTTTGGCAGCACTGCCTGTTATTACCATTTTGACTTTCCGAAGAAATCTGTTAGTTATTTTCACTTGGTTTTTTTAAAAAAAACACACACATGCACACTGCTCTCCAATGTGTTACTAATTTGAATCGGAATTCTGAATGCCTGTATGTAAAGTTGGGCCTAAAATAAATGCCGGCTTAATCTTGTATAGAGCAATAATTGCAGGTGCCTTTTGCAGCATTTAGCCTGATTGCAGCTTTAATCTCTTCCATGTGCAGCTGTGGTGAAGTGCATGCTGTTTGTGTACGTTTTTTTGTCTCCATGCTGGAGGGTCGCTTCTAAGTTTATCGCTGCCATTGTGCTGAAGATTATCAGGCAGCACGTGGAATGTTGGCAGCATCAGCGGATTCTTAAATGCGCTCTTGTGGTCCCTTCGCAAGAAAGCGGGGAAGGGCCATACCTCAGTGGTAAAGCATCTTCTTTCCATGCAGAAGGTCCCAGGCATCACCAGGTATGGCTGGAAAAGACTCTGTCTGAAACCCTGGAGAGCTGCTGTTGGTCAGTGTGGACCAAGGTTTCCCAAACTTGGGTTTCCAGGTGTTTTTGGACTACAACTCCCATCAAGCCTAGCTTGCAGGACCAGTGGTCAGGGATGATGGGAACTGTAGTCCAAAAACAGCTAGAAACCCACCTTTGGGAAACCCTGGTGTAGACAATACCAAGTGGTCAAACCCATTTGGTTTAACTCAGTATAAGGAAACATCCTATGCTTCTAAACCAATGACTAGGTTGTGATTGGTAAGCTACTCTTTCCTATTTCTTGTGTCCTAAAATAGACTTATTTTTCCCAGGGTGAAGAATCTTCATCCCTGCTCCCCTCAGGAGGCACAGTTCCCAGAGTTCCCTGGGAAGTGGATTGATTGTAAAACTACTCTGGGAACTGTAGCCATGTGAGCGGAATAGGTATCTCTTAACAGCTCTCAGCACCCTTAACAAAGTACAGTTCCCAGGATTCTATGGGGGAAGACATGACACCAGTCCTGAAAGACCTACATTGGCTCCCAGTATGGTTCTGAGCACAATTCAAAGTGTTGGTGCTGACCTTTAAAGCCCTAAACGGCCTTGGACAAGTATACCTGAAGTAGCTTCTCCACCCCCATCATTCAGCCCGGACACTGAGGTCCAGCTCTAAGGGCCTTCTGGTGGTTCCCTCACTGTGAGAAGTAAGGTTACAGGGAACCAGGCAGAGGGCCTTCTCGGTAGTGGCGCCCACCCTGTGGAACGCCCTCCCATCAGATGTCAAGGAAATAAACAACTATCTGAGTTTTAGAAGACAGGGAAGTTTTTAATGTTTGATGTTTTATCGCTTTATTATTATTATTATTATTAGTCATATTCTGCTGAGAGCCGCCCAGAATGGCTGGGGAAACCCAGCCAGATGGGTGAGATATAAATTATTATTATTATTATTATTATTATTATTATTATTATTATTTCAAGGTGATATTAAAGTGCTTTAAATGTAAGTTGGAGGTGTGCGCTGAGTCATTGTAGACAATAGTGAGGTAGATGGACCAATGGCATTAAGGCCCAAATGGAAGAAAGAAGTTCATAAACCAGGTGGAGGAATGCTAGGAAAGAAACAATTTGAGGATCAGTGGCAGAACTTCTTCCTTGCATGCAAAAGTTCCCATGTTCAATCCGCATTGGCATCTCCATGTAGGGCTGGGAGAGTCTCATGCCTGAAACCCTGGAAAATGTCCATAGTCAATGTAGACAATCCTGAGCTGGATGGAGCAATGGTTCGGCACAATATAAGGCAGCATTGTGCGCTCCCAATTCCTCAGACTGCATCAAAGGGGTCCAGGTTTAATATACTTCAAATGTGGTTTCTCTGCCTGCAAGAGCCTTCTTGTTATTTTTTGTTTTCAGTAATGTCTCTCCTCATTATTTGTTACTGGCCAATATAGCACTCTAAATAGAATATGTTAAACTTTATTGTTGTTCTGCACTTGGAATTGTTTTATCTGTGTGACTGCTGCTAAGGACTCCCTTTAAGGCAAAAGACATTCAGAGCGTTTTGGGAAGGCAGGCTATAAGGATGACCTCATCAAATCATGGAGTTGGAAGAGACCCTGGGGGTCATCTAGTCCAACCCCCTGAAATGCAGGGATATACAGCTGGATCGAACCTGCAACCTTGGTGTTGTCAGCACCACAGCCCAACCCACTGAGCTAACCCGCTTTCATTTTGATGACCCTTTTCTGACATTCAAGAATGGTTTGGGAGTAAACCACTGGTGAATATTGAATCAACTTGAGAACTGTATGTTACTGAGCTGAATTTTCTCTCTCTCCAGACATTGGGCTCTTTCTCTTTCAGCCATACATGCACTGAAATGGGGTATTATACTACTCATTGAATAAAGAATTATAAATGATTTATTTACCATTAAGAAATAGTCAGATCATAACCAAAAGTGCACCTAAGTGCTTATATAGGCAGAATCGTAGAATCATAGAATTGTAGAGTTGGAAGGAGCTAGGAGGGTCATCTAGTCTCCATAGCGGATTTTTAAAATATAATAATAATAATAATAATAATAATAATAATAATAATCTCACACTGGTGGTATCCAATGCTAGCCCTGCTCAGAGTAGACTCAGATACATTCATAGACATGACTAAGTGGGACTCGTTAATTTCAATGGATCTGCTCTGAGTAGGACAGCTGAGCACAATCCGTAGGTTCTCTGCATTTGACTTTATGTCGATATATTCTTTGAGTAGGAAATTAGGAAGGCATTTAGACTTCTGAGTAACACAGAATAAGAATGGGTTGTTGCCACATATAACAAAATGTCACTGAAAGGGGATTAACATTTTGAGTTTTGACAACCACTTCTAATTATATGGGAGTTCTAGTGAAGTCCAGGCAGACAGGGAGAAATGTAAAGTATTGCACTTGGGCAAAAAAAATGAGAGGCACAAATACAAGATGGGTGACACCTGGCTTGAGAGCAGTACATGTGAAAAGGATCTAGGAGTCTTGGTTGACCACAAACTTGACATGAGCCAACCGTGTGACGCGGCAGCTAAAAAAGCCAATGCAATTCTGGGCTGCATCAATAGGAGTATAGCATCTAGATCAAGGGAAGTAATAGTGCCACTGTATTCTGCTCTGGTCAGACCTCACCTGGAGTACTGTGTCCAGTTCTGGGCACCACAGTTCAAGAAGGACACTGACAAACTGGAACGTGTCCAGAGGAGGTCAACCAAAATGGTCAAAGGCCTGGAAACGATGCCTTATGAGGAACGGCTAAGGGAGCTGGGCATGTTTAGCCCGGAGAAGAGGAGGTTAAGGGGTGATATGATAGCCATGTTCAAATATATAAAAGGATGTCAAATAGAGGAGGTAGAAAGGTTGTTTTCTGCTGCTCCAGAGAAGTGGACACGGAGCAATGGATCCAAACTACAAGAAAGAAGATTCCACCTAAACATTAGGAAGAACTTCCTGACAGTAAGAGCTGTTCGACAGTGGAATTTGCTGCCAAGGAGTGTGGTGGAGTCTCCTTCTTTGGAGGTCTTTAAGCAGAGGCTTGACAACCATATGCCAGGAGTGCTCTGATGGTGTTTCCTGCTTGGCAGGGAGTTGGACTCGATGGCCCTTGTGGTCTCTTCCAACTCTATGATTCTATGATTCTATGTCTTTTAATTGGATGGGTCCCTCATATCACTTTTGGAGACAGTGCTGTTGGCTTTCTGTCATATTCGATGGGTCAAAGCCAATTTAAGGATAAGACCTTTTTCATTTTTGTTTTTGCTTTGCTACCACAGATTTCAAAGAAAGAATTAATTTTCAAGATTAGCAATATATACAACAGGCATGAGGAACTTTGACCCTCAGAATGTCATTGGACTCTAATAACTATCACCCCCAATACTGCTCCCATATGCCTTATACTACTGGAGTATTGAAGTATTAATTGAAGTTTGCACGCTACACATTGTCTGAGACCATAAAGTCCTGGCTAAAAGTAAACACGGATGAAAGATCTTACATTCAGTGAAAAACCAATGGCTGAAAGCAAATATGCTATGTAGTAATTCAGAAATGTGTATTCTCTCCATTAGGGTCATAGTGACTTCTGGAGCAGCAGAAGTATAATAATATTGTTGTAACATGGCTTATTTGTATTGATGCTGACATTATGCATAAACAGTGGGATTCAATAGGAAGAAATTATGCATGAAACCAATACGTATGTCAATAAATAAAACAAGATTAATTTAGTAGTGTAATCAAGCAATCTTCAATAGAATAGGTATTCATTTTAATCTAGTTTAAATAAGCAGTGTATCTGTCACGCCACGGCTAGATTTATGAATTCCATGTTATCAATTTTTCCTTCTAAATCAATGATAACAACCCTGATTAATACATTTTAAGTACTGCAGAGGCTGAGTGCATGGAGTGCCCTTCTCTATCTTCCTGGTGCTTTAAGTGTTGTGTTTACAGTCTCTTTTATTACTTTTGACTGTATGTTGAGGTGACTATTTTGCTTGCTGCTTTTATTTATGATCCACCAGATCTTTCTGGAATAATAGTTCTTGGGGTTATAAATTTCATAAGAACCTCCTTCACACCTGGCTGTGTTCATTCTTCAATCACTGCTGCACCTCCTTTGTTGAACACAGCTTCCTTGGATGAGGACAGTATATTGAATTATTGTCCTCTTTCCAAATTGCCTTTGCAGAGATGACAGTGAAACTGCATTGTTGCAACATTTTACCAATAATAACCTCCCAAAGTAAACACAATCTGAATGATACACCTCAGGCAGAAATTTGGCACCACTGCAGCAACAAAGTGCTCCTTGAAGTCATCTCTAAAGAATTTTTTTGTCATTGATGACTTTAGAAACTTTGTTGCACTTAGTATTTGCTTCATTGGAACAGACAGTCTTCTTTGTTAGAGTTCATTAGAATGCAAGAATAGCCCTGAAAGGTCAGGCCAAAGACTCATCTAGTCCAGTATTCTGCTTTCACAGAGACCAACATATGAGAAGCCCACAAGCAAGACATGAAGATAATAGCAAACTCCCACTTGTATATGGGGTGTTAGGGGAAGGATCTTACTTCTGGTGGAAGACATGTTGTGCACTTTCTGGGGTAGCTTGTCCAGCTTTGGTCCCCACCCCCAGGCACTCAGTCAGCACATGACAGCAGCCACACCCCAGGAAATGCCTTTGACTAGCCAGCTAAGCCTGGTGAGGGTAGCTGATGGGTCTCAAACCCTCAGTGAGTTAGGAACTAGCCTTGCATGTGAAGACAGGCTCATCTCTTGTATCTAAGTCCCCCATCACAACACTCTTCACTTTGCTAAGAAGTTGCATGTGCATTGTATCCTTGGCATACTATTCAGCAGGGATCTGTCGATTGCTTCTTCTTTTAGATCAGGGGTAGTCAACCTTTTTATACCTACCACCCACTAATGCATCTTTCTTGATGGTAAAATTTCCTTGCCGCCCACCAACGCTCAATGGAAGGAGGATTCAGCTTGTGCCGTAGAACCCCCTACTGCCCACCTAGAATCCTGAAATGCCCACTAGTGGGTGGTAGGGACCAGGTTGACAACCCCTGTTTTAGATAGAGCCATCATGGGCAACATTTTTCACAGCACATGCCCATTTACGCATAAAAATTTTATTTGTGAGTAAAGGCACAAGGGGTTGCAGTTTGGAAATGGATATCGTGTAGTTATCATTATCTGAATTTGAATCCAGTGGGGGAAAATCTTGCATCTGCTGCAACAAAGACAGAATATGTATTTAGGAGTTTAGTGATGTATGATTTTCCACAGATTAATTTATTTGCAGGTGTTCAGCCAACCAATATGCATATATTTGTAAAGAAAAAAAATGGAATGAAAAGGAGAAAATCTTTATGGGAACTTACAGAAAATGCATTTAAAAAGATAAAGCCTATAGGGTTCTCCAAATAGCTGTAAGATAATGTTTTTGAAAAAGGCAGTAGTAATTTGTGAAAGATTAAAGACATTTTTGCTTTTATAGCTGGAGAAGACTGTGAACTGTTTGATATAATTGTTATTCAGCCTTTGTTTTTGAACTCTAAAGTTTGGCTTCTGTTTTGTTCTGTATTTCTGAAGGATATATTTGTGATAATCCATGTGCTGGCAGAAAGACATTTGTTTTTTTGGAAAATTAATTAGATCATATTTGAATATTCATATCACTCTCTTGCATTGAAGGGATAAAAATAGTTTCTGTTGATTGCCTGGGGAGTTAGGGATGACCTAACATGTCTCAATTTAAAAGAAAAAATATACACAACAAAACAATCCTTTTACCCTTTCACACATTCATTGTGCAACCTACCATTAGAATATGATGAAACTTCCTTTGATGTTTCCTCTTATGTACTTCTGAGCCAGATGTGGGAAATCTCAGACCTGTGGCCCTTCCATGTCAGAGGAAGTAAATACCCCTGAACGCCACTTGCTGAAAGCCACAGCAGAGGAGAGTGCAGCAGAGGAGAGGTTTTCCCTGGCATCAGGTTGGCCTGGTCTAGCCGGCTCTTCCGTTCCTAACATAATGCATTTTCCCCATGCTATTTTCACTAATACAGTTGTACCTCGGAAGTCGAACAGAATCCGTTCCGGAAGTCCATTCGTCTTCTGAAATGTTCAACTTCCAATGCACGGCTTCTGATTGGCTGCAGGAAGTCCCTGCAGCCATTCGGAAACCGTGGAAGCCCCATTGGACGTTCAAAGAACATTTGAAAACCAGGACACTCACTTCCAGTTTTCGAACGTTCGGGAGCCGGAACGTTTGACTCCCAAGGTGTTCGAGAGCCGAGGTACAACTGTATATGCATATATACTTTAATATATGCATTTTTATATGAATGACTTGGCTGGAGAACTGCATTGCAAAATTTGGAGAAGCATGAATTTCAAAGAACGGCTGTGTTCTCGGTTCAAATTTTCTTTTGGAAAGCGCAAATTTTGCAGGGTCATCTATAAATGCGAACTGAACTGAATTTCACCTTTGTTCCTCTTGCATGTAAAATGTGAGCACCCCCATTGCTCACATCCACCATGGTAAACAGTATTGCGAACACACAAGCGATTACACTAAAATGATGCTCTCTCCCCTTTCCTTCTTAAGTAGCACTCTCTGCTTCAAGTTAGTATTTGGCCAACAACCCTGGAAGCAATT